CTGATGAGTAGCTCAACCTTTTCCGGGCGGATCAGTTCGCCCGGTTCAACGGAGCCTGGGAAGAACTTCTCCAGGCGCTCCGAGTCCACGAAGTGACCCACATTGGCAATCTCTTCTAATCCATAGCAAACCATCTCATGGAGTCGCCATGTCCCCTTCTTTGTGGCTACCTTTATGCTCAACAGGTATCTCTTTGTCTCTACTTTTGCCTCCATGCCACCAACAACATGAACAACTAAGGTGATTGGTTCACCAGGCAGACCAAGCCTCTCCGCTGCCTGGTGGGTGATGTAATTCGTTCAGAGGCTAAATCGATGAGTGCTCCAATCCAGTCTCCCCTCTTGGTGGTGACGTCCAACAACATCATGAGGACCGGGAGCTCCTTCAGACAACTCTCATCTTCCGAGCCTCTGCCAGCCCACAACTTTGAAGTCACTTTGTTTGTGCAAGCCTTCTGAACAGCCTCCAGCTGCTCCAGGGACAGACCTAGGCCAGCAAACACAGCCTCTTGCTCTTCCGTCGGGCCTCGGGGTTCTCTCCTTTTATCCCCTTTGGTCCCTTGCCTAGCTGCATCTTTCCTAGTTGGGGTCTTAAGACACAGGAAGCAATGGTGATCCGATGAGGCATCACCCCTTCTGCATCCCTCATTACGACACAGAAAGTTCTTATTACATGGGTCATCACTCCCATTGGGAGTCCAGACACCTGGGACATACTTTTGTCTTTTTCACGTAAGCTCTCCGCTCTGACGGGTTGGCCTTTTTAAACGTCTTACAGCGGTATAAACGGCCTGTGTGACCCTCATCACCACACAAACAGCAAGGATTCTGTGACAGCTCACCTCTCGTCTCGCTTGCAGTAGCCTTGGTGAATGAACGTCTCTCCATCCTCCGATCTGGTCTCTTTTTGGGTTTCTCACGGGGGCTCGGATCAGCTGCCCTGGTAGTATTAGACTGTCTGATGGATTGCAACTGCTCCAGTTGCACCAGAACTGTCTTCTGGTCTGTCAGGAACTGCCATAGCTTATCAAACCGGTTCTCTGGACTGACATCATTGACAGGATCGCATCGGTACAAAAGCAACCTTTCTTTCATACTGTCCAGCAGCTTACTCTTAAGTGACCGGATCACTAACTGATTTTTTATGGCATCTTCACAACCTAGGTCTATTAGGTTCAACAGTGACCTCTCTGTTGGAGGATTAACTGTAAAACTTCTCTGGGTTTGTTGTTGCGCACGCCCAGTAACTCCTGTAGTTCAAGTACAATGTCATCTGCTACTAGTGATACGTCACCATAACAGTCCTCTAAAACCTGGAAAACCTCGCTCGCAGTACTGCAGTGAGACAGCCTAAGTTCACATTTTACTGCATCAGCAATACTGTCCATCAGGTGGAAGAGCCTGCACTCCGGGGAACCTGTAGGTTCCGCTAACGCTTGGAGGGTCCCCCAGTAACTCTTCCAGTGCCAGTAGCTTCTCCAATCCCCAAAGAACTTTGGTAGGCTCAGGGGTGCGAGTGCAATCCTCGTTCCGAGTGATCCTTGAGAGACGGTAGACGTGCTCTGTCCTGCCCCAGCGCCATTGGGTCTCACACCATGCATTCCTTGAAGCTGCTGTGGTGTGCCTGAGAGGCCAGGGTTGAATACAGGACTCACAAGTCCCTGGGATAGTGGTCCCTGTGGTGGCGCTTGAAGGGCTGCAATGGTAGGACCTGCAGCTCGTGCTCCATTGGGGCCACCTTCATCAATGACCTGGTTACTACTGCCTACTGAAGCACTTTGGCATGCAGCAGGGTGCACGTCAGCATCTAGCGCACCACCGGCACGCGCTCTACCATCATCTCCACCGGTCACAGCAGGCCCACTTGGCTTGCTAGTGCTGGTCGTCACTCCACCGTCAGCGCCACCTTCATCACTGGCTTCACCTTCACTGCTAGTCCTGCTTCTAAGTTCGCCACACCCAGATCTCCTTCTTCCATCTAGGGTGGTAGCTAGCACCACCATAGCTACTCTCCTCCTTTCCTTGAGCTCTTTGAGACAAGCTCACATAACATTCACTTCTTTCTCTGGAACATAACGATCCCACTTATGCACAAACTCACTTAGAGCTTCCTCTCTGCCTTCCACAGCAGGGAGCATTGAATCAAACTGATCCTGTTTTATTTGACCCGTTTTGAGCGCCTCAACCTGGCTAATCGCATCTTTTAGGTCAACTCTTAGACTCTCAAACTGACCTGATGCACAAGGAGAGAGGGATCCTCAAACAGTGCCCACATCCAGGGCTGCCACACCTCCCACCGTGTCGCCCTGCGGCCGTCCTCCTGCATGCACAGACGTTTCAGGTCGCCATCCGCTCCGCCGGTGAGTGCAGGGTCGTCCTCGGGTGGATCCGGTTCGGGAGTCTCAAAGCTGTCCAGGGCTTCTTCTGCATCACGGTGCTGTCGGTAATTCATCCAGCAGCACGCCTCCACGTCCGTCTCATCGATGCCCCAGAAGGCAAGCTCTTCCTCGAAGAGCGGCCCGCAGACATCGTTGGGGCAGTGGAGCTTGCCGGTACGGTAGTAGTTGAGGATGAAGGCGAAGGTGGCCGGGTGGCGGTCAAAGAAGAACTCGTCGGACTTGGGATCGTAGTCGAAGTTGCTGTAGGCGTCGGGCTCTGTCAGCCAAGACAAACGCGTCCCCGGCAACGTCTTTAGGGTGCTCCGGTAGGTCTCGTGTCGAATTCCACCGCAGTTGATGACGATCTTCTCGCTATCTGACGCCGAGCAAGTCATGGTGCTGGAGCATCCTTCGGTCGGTACGTCCGACTGCTGCTGCTGCGGCTACTGCCTTTCCCCATCCACCGTCGGTCCCTGATCTGTATGCTTGTGTTATACTGTACCGCCAACAAGGAGACACAAGTGAGAGAAGGAAGGGAAGGAGGAGTCAGCCTCTCTGCCTCTCTAAGAGAGAGAGGGGGGATCTGCAGGCGCGTGTATATGTACGAAAGAGAGAATGTGTGGGATGCGGATTTTATGAATCAATAGGTTTCCCCGCTGATTGACTGCCTGCCCGCGCGATTGATTTACTGAGTTCGTGTGATTCAAATCCTTTGACGATGTTGAATTCGCGACCTCCACATGAATACCTGAACATGAATACATTTGCTCTTATTCTCATCCCGTGGGTCTCTGCAGCCCGTACTTGTGCAGAGAAATCAGATGTGTTGAACTAAGCAGTAGAGAGCGAGAGCATGCACGTGATCATTGGCTTCTTTTTTTTTCCTTCTGGAAATGCTGAAATACTGATGCGCATCTAGACATTAGCATCTCTATGCCTGCTGAAACAAACCTTATTCAGGAATTTCATTTATTTAGTAGGTTTCGCTTTCCTGGTGTCCAACTTTCCACCACATAAAACTGGCTGCAGGAGAATGCACTCAGTAACATTAGTGGCACTGAATTATTGTTGCATGGCTCTTGTTTTCTCTCTAATTTACAGTTCTGACTTTGAGAGGAGGGGGTAAACCTCACTCTGGCTGACGGATCACAAACCATATATTTAAAAAAAACCTTGTGTGTTTCTCTTGTTTTGGGGTTTTCCTTATTTGGAATTCTCAGCCAGGAAAATCTGAGCATCAGCCTCTTCCATACCTGAAAATCTGTTGCATTTCTATGCAGTAGGTTATATGTTTTCTGCATCCATTTACAGTAAAAGTATGTATTCATGTACAGTAAATGAAAACATGTGTTGGAATATAACCCAGTTAGGATCGATGCCATTCTTTCCCACTTTGAAATAATTATTCTCAGTGGATTTAATTCAGTATTGTCCCTGCCAAGTCACACATGAAGAGTGGAACAAGATGATATGAATTCAGGCTGCTTTTGTCTCCTTTGTTTGTGAAGTAACCTAATTAAATTTGTACCAGTCACTTGTTCATGTCAGTTTAATCACCCACGTGGGTTTCAGCAAAGGTTTGTAATGTTTAGAACTTTGCACATTCTGAATATTCACATGTTAGCAGTCTCTTTCTTTGATGTGATGAATGAATATCCATAGACTGCATATAAAACGGAGCCTTCTGTTCCTCATTTCAGGTTTCAGTATTGGGGTAGATCACCAATCCATCACAGAGCTTACACACAGACAATCATTCACTCTCACATTTACAGCTATGGGCAATTTGGAATCGCTGGTTGCCCTAAACCCACTGCACGTCTTTGGACTGTGGGAGGAAGCCGGATTACCTGGAGAGAACATGCAAGCGCCACACAGAAAGGCCCAAGCAGGGTGAGGCAACAGTGCTAACCACTGCACCACCATGCTCACCATTCCCAATGGACATAACTTCCAACTGTGAAAAGTAAAGCCAATGCTAACGTGCCCTAACACTGAGTTCTTTCTGCCAGCAGGAGGTGACTATTCTGGTGTCAAAGACGTGTGGTTGAGTAGAAATCCGTTTGTTCCCTTGATCTATGACCTTAGTAAACACTTTGCTGAGGATTTTGTGGGGGTAAAATGGGTATTCCTCTTCACATAAAAACTTTACTAATAACTTGTAACTGACCATATCGAGTTAAGTCATAATTCACATTTTGGAAATAAAATTAAATATTTCTGAAGGAAGGTAACAGTTGTTTATTTCAGTATATATTTTGGCCTTTTTTCATGTCGTCTGGCTTTGAGAAATGCACGTTTTCTACACGGGCAGTGGTGCAGCGATTAGCACTGTTGCCTCACAGCAAGCAGGTCCAGAGTTTTATTCCACCACCCGGCTGGGTCCTTTCTGTGTGGAGTTTGCATGTTCTCCTCATGTTTGCGTGGGCTTCCCCAGTAGTCTGGCTTCCTCCCACAGTCCACAGAAATGCAGTTAGTGGAATTAGGTTAACTGGTCATTCTAAATTGCCCATAGGGGTAATTCTGAGTGTGAATGGTTGTTTGTCTCTATGTGTTAGCCCTGTGACAGACTGGCGACCTGTTGGGAAAGGCTCCAGCGACCCTGAAATGGTGTTTTCTACATACTGCGATGGGCGTGTCCCTCTTAAAATCTAAGCCTATGCATGTCTGAATATATTGATGGCAGATTTGGAAGATCTTTACAGTAATTCTATAACTATTTCTCAGCATTGAGTGACTCCATACTGGTTTCCCTCTATTTGATCTAAAAAATCTGTATAATTAATAACAGTAATATTTTTGAGGGATGTTTCGTGTTCAATTAATAAACAAAAATAGTTGCTACAAAAATGTTTGATACAAAATAAATAAGTTGAATGAACATTCTCCAAATGTGGTGATTCCATAGTTTTTGACTGGGTTGTAGAACTCAGTGTGATGTTACATCGCGTCCTATAGGTGGGGCCATGCTGTGGACGTTTGAGGCACCGAGTATGTTTGCTGAAGACTCTGTGAACGATCGTTCTAGCGCTTTTACGTTCCAGGGAGTTTTATGGTCACAATAGTTTTTAAATACTTTAGCGATGCTGTAACTAACATATTAACATTAAATCTGTTCAATGTAAAATTCTGAATTATTTGTTGCAGTTTTATTAAGGTTGCAAGTGATAAAGCTCTCATCGTCTTTCTCTGTCTCAGCTTCATCCACACTTTTTTAATCTACTAAAACGCTTGGCTCAATTAGGAAGAGCAGGAGGGACATGATGCTGCCTCACGCCCACTTCCCTCTCTCTCTCTATCGCTGTTACTCTCCAAGACTGTCCCCCCACCACCAACTAGAGGGAGAGGGAGAGAGACAGGCCAGAAGCAGAACAAGTATTTGCTGAGATCCACAGAATGTGGAGGGAAAAGACTGCAGACCATCAGATCATTAGTGCTCTCCCATTTTCTCTCTCTCTCTTTCTCTCACACCGAGTATTCTTTCCATTTCTCTCTCCACCTTTCCTTATCATCCCCACTGCCTGTCGGCCCTCCCTCCTCTCTCCCTCAGTGCAGAGCTAATGTGCTGCGTTGGCCTGTTGAGAACAGTCTGCAGCACTGTGCTTCGTTCTCCACTAATACGTCATGGAAACACACGCACACACGCGTCTACAGAGCTATGCCCTCAAAATATGAAATACAATAAACCACCCAAATACACCAGACCTAAGGTTCAAGCTCTTATCACAATCTGACCACCTCTACACAGTGTTAAGGTTTTAGTACATGGACTGATATTTGATTGGTCGTGCAAACTAAACAAATGGGTTTCCTTTGCCTTACAGAAACCTGGGTACAGCAGGATGATTGTGTTCGTTTTAAACGTTCACCATCCCTGAGTCAGACTAACTGTCAGAATCCTCTAAGCACAGGCTGAGGAGGGGGGAGCAATCTTCCGATCCAGCTTATTAATCAACCAAAGACAGACAGACTTTTAATTCATTTTAAAGCCTGATGCTTAGCCTGACCACCCCAGCTGTGAAACTCAGAAACCAGTCTTACTTGTTATCATCTATCGTCCACCTGGGCCTTACACAGAGTTTCTGTCTGATTTCTCAGACTTTTTATCTGATTTAATTCTCAGCTCAGATAAAATAATTATTGTGGGTGATTTTAACATCCATGTAGATGCTAAAAATGACAGCCTCAACTGAATTTAACCCTCTCCTGTCTGATCATTTCCTGATAACATTTACATTTACAATAATTGATTACACAGCGGTGGAGAGTAGACTTTATCACAGTAGATGTCTTTCTGAAAGTGCTGTAACTAAGTTTAAGAATATAATCCACCCACTGTTATCATCTCCAATGCCCTGTACCAACACAGAGCAGAGCAGCTATCTGAACGCTGCTCCAACAGAGGTCGATTATCTTGTTAATAATTTCACCTCCTCACTACGTACGACTCTGGATACTGTAGCTCCTGTGAAAACTAAGGTCTCTAATCAGAAGTACCTGACTCCGTGGTATAATTCTCAAACACGTACCCTAAAGCAGATGACTCGTAAGCTGGAGAGGAAATGGCGTGTCACAAATCTAGAGGATCATCATTTAGCCTGGAGAAATAGTTTGCTGCTTTATAAGAAAGCCCTCCGCAAAGCCAGAACATCTTACTATTCATCACTGATTGAAGAAAATAAGAACAACCCCAGGTTTCTCTTCAGCTCTGTAGCCAGGCTGACAAAAAGTCAGAGCTCTGTTGAGCCAACCATCCCTTTAACGTTAACTAGTAATGACTTCATGAACTTCTTCACAAATAAAATTTTTATCATTAGAGAAAAAATTACCAGTAATCATCCCACAGATGTAATATTATCTACAGCTACTCTTAGTACCATTGATGTTAAGTTAGACTCTTTTTCTCCAATTGATCTTTCTGAGTTAACTTCAATAATTACTTCCTCCAAACCATCAACGTGTCTTTTAGACCCCATTCCTACAAAACTGCTCAAAGAAGTCCTGCCATTAATTAATTCTTCGATCTTAAATATGATCAACCTATCTCTAATGATCGGCTATGTACCACAGGCCTTCAAGCTGGCTGTAGTTAAACCTTTACTCAAAAAGCATCTCTAGACCCAGCAGTCTTAGCTAATTATAGGCCAATCTCCAACCTTCCTTTCATATCAAACATCCTTGAAAGAGTAGTTGTCAAACAGCTAACAGATCATCTGCAGAGGTTTATTTGAAGAGTTTCAGTCAGGTTTCAGAGCTCATCACAGCACAGAAACAGCTTTAGTGAAGGTTACAAATGATCTTCTTATGGCCTCTGACAGTGGACTCATCTCTGTGCTTGTCCTGCTAGACCTCAGTGCAGCGTTCGATACTGTCGACCATAATATCCTATTAGAGCGATTAGAACATGCTGTAGGTATTACAGGTACTGCACTGCAGTGGTTTGTATCATATCTATCTAATAGACTCCAGTTTGTGCATGTAAATGGAGAGTCCTCTTCACACACTGAGGTTAATTATGGAGTTCCACAGGGTTCAGTGCTAGGACCAATTCTGTTTACATTATACATGCTTCCCTTAGGCAGCATCATTAGAAGACATAGCATACATTTACACTGCTATGCTGATGACACCCAGCTCTATCTGTCCATGAAGCCAGATAACACACACCAATGAGTTAAACTGCAGGAATGTCTTAAAGACATAAAGACCTGGATTGTCATGATCCTGGGCCATGTTGGCCCTGTATTCTTTGTTTTCATGTATTTTTGTA